GTGCCAGGGGCTGGGGCGCCTCGCAGGGCACAGCGATGCCTACTTAGAGGAACTGGAGGCAGAGGCATTTCTGCAGAGGCTTAACTTTCATTAAAACTAAGAACCTCAGAGTGAAAGTAACATGGAAACCTCGGGATCGAGTCAAATCTGGCAGGTTAAGGACTCTTCAGTTTCTTCTACAGGTGGAATATTTGGGTGAATCAGTGAGCTGGGCAGTACGAAGCCCTCGCCTGTCACGTGCCTGTTTGCCCTTCCTGGGCTCTGCTCTGTACTGAAGGTCACTCATTTCCCAGGTTCCCTTGCACCCTGGCTTTGGTGTGTCTGCCCTAGGGGAGGCACTGACAGAAGACTCGAGGAGGGAAGAGGCCATGGTTTTCCTCCCCAGACATGCCTCCTCTGTGGCCTCAGTTGTTGCTGGGTAGAGCCTGCCTCCATGGTGCCCGTTCTGCTGGGCAGCTCCAGCATGCTCTGGCTCCCATCAGAGGGCCCCTGGCCTTGGGCTCTGGTGACCCTGCTGTTGGTGATTTCCAGCGTGCCTCACCGTCCTCTGTTCGGCCTCTTGGCCCTTCCATCCTGGGGGGGGGATCCCTTCATTCTGTTATTTCAGCTAAAATAACTAGATAGATTTTTGCTTTCCTGACCAAATTTTGAGTGATGCAAAACCAGAATGTACTTAATTGATTTGAGATTATTATCTAAGAATACTAGTTTTCATCGGTCAGAATGACTCTGAGATTGGTCATTTCTTTTCATTGGTGAGAGGGGAGTTCCATGGGTTTATCACTAGTCTTGATAAAACCCCGGACAGACTTGACTTCTGCTGCTTGGGCTGAGACCTCTCTGTTCCCTTCTAGTCTGTCCGTTTGTTTTCCAAAGCCGAGAAGCAAACAAATCAAAGAGGACTTGACTGAGAACTTATAATACAGGAACTGTTTTGGATTGGCCTAGTTCTGAGGACTAGTCAAGGTGTATGAACTTTGACCCTTACAATCCCATTACTTTGTCACTGTAATGGGGTGGCACATAATAAATATGCAGGAATTAATGTCTAACTAGGGGTACAGAGTATGTGGGAGCTTAGGGGAGGCAGATACTCGTCCTTAAGTACAATGGACAAAGCCTTCCACCCTCCCCCACGGCAACACGCCACTTCTCCAAAGGACGGACTTTCTCTGCTTCCCATTATCTAATTAGATTCCACTGTCTCCTTAGGTCCAGAAGAAGGAGGACATCCATGCCTTGAAAATAACTCCCTCCTTCTAGTTAGACGGTGGTGATTAGTTTAATCTGGTAGTCATAATTGGTTCCCTGAGGCAACACCCAACGTGGAGATCGATTGACTTGCTGCCCTACTTGATTTCCTGGGGTGGCTGCTAACAACATCACAGGGCATTTTGTTAACGCTGGGGATTGCTGGGAGGTGTAGGTGAGGCGCGCTTGTGAAGGCAGGCATAGTGCCTGGCATGTAGTAAACGGGCAGTAATTTCTGGCTGTTCCTGGATTTCTCATTTCAATTCACTTCATGAGCATGTACTTCTCGTTAAGCCTTTGACATGCATTATCTCATCTTATCCCTGCAGAAACTCTACGAAGTGGGAGACAGGAAAATCCTCGTTTCACAGAGAAGAGAACCAGGGCTGGGTGTGTGTGTGTGTATGAGGGGGGTGAGTGGATTGTTCAAGGTTATAAAACTGCTGGGACATGGAGCTGAAACTTAAGCCTGGCCTGTTTGATTCTTAACATTTTCTGAACTGTACTGTCTGAATGGCCCCATTACAGACAAGTCATTGAAAAATACATTTTTAAAAATCATTTTAAAGATTTATTTGAGAGAGAGAAAGAGAGAAGAGGGGCAGAGGGAGAGAATCTTTAAGCAGACTCCCCACTGAGTGCAGAGGCTGATGTGGGGCTCAATTTCATGACCCTATGATCATGACGTGAGCTGAAATCAAGAGTCGGATGCTGAACGAAGCCACCAAGTGCCCCAAAAAATACATTTTGAAAAGTAACATACAGTCAGCAGGCACTGAGGATGTACTGGCTGCAAATTTAGCATGATGGTTAGAAAAGTTACGACTTTCAGATGGGCTCCCTCCATCAGTAATGATTCTTGAGGACTCTTGGTGCTTAAAGCTCCCTGTAGGAGAAGGAAGCAGTAAGCCACATGATCCCAGCAAACGGCAACTGGGCCCGTCTCACAAGACAGGGAGTGGAACATGAGCGTTAATGTGACACTGGCTGAATACATTGGGACGAGGGAGAGAAGAGAGAGGAGCCTCCCATCGGCAGTTCTTGCACCTCTATACCTGGTTCAGGAGACAGGGTTTGGGGTCTGACAGACACCCGGTTTCGCCTCTTTCTGCAGCATGGCCCAGAGAGAGCGCCATCCTGTGAGCTGCAGTGTTCTCAGGCTACAAAAAGGGGCTAGTGAGGGCGAGCTCACAGAAGTGTCCGCTTGTCTTTGATATGCATGTTCGTTAAATCAGTTCAGTTCTTAAATATGTTCTTGTATAAGGTGATGTCAGGACACGGGAACAGCCCCCCAGCAAACACAAACAGCCCTTGGGCTTTTGGATTCAGCCTGGTAGGCTTCATACCAGGTTTGCTCCCCCACCTCCCAGTGAGGCTTCAGTTATCTGGCAAATGCACAAAAGAAAATAAGTTGCATGTAGCTGCCACCATGAAATACCCAGAAAGTCACCTTGGAGGAAAACCAGCACTTCCAAGAAAAAACAGAGACACAGAGTTCAAAAAAGGGAAGCTTTGTGATCAGCCAATTGCCCCTCCTGAAGGTCTAGATGGGCTCTGTGATTGTTCGGTGAATTGACAGTTCCTGTATTACTAAATCAGAATCCCCGAGATGCCTCCCAAGTGGTAGGGTTGATAGGGACAGAGGAAAGAGGGCAGCCAGCCCGCACTTGGTGGAGGGTGGAGGAGCTGGGAGTGGGAGCCCGTGCTTCCTGGGCTGGGACGTCCCACAGGCAAGCTGAGGGTGCAGCACCCAGGGCTCGGCTCTCCCATCCACGGGGTTCGATAGGCCATCTGCCTGCCGGTCTCCGGACATCTGGAGTGACAATGGACTTGAGGCCCCGCAGCTAACAGTTTCCTATCTCATCTTTCTACCATTGACCAAAGTTCAGATCAGCGTGTTCTTTGCTTTATGAAATAATATTCCAGAATATATATTTTAAGACATCCAATCTGTTGAACATGCAAAATCTGAGGCCTTATGGTATGTTAAGATGTGTGAAACCCTTTTTGAAGTGGTTTGTGCATTTTATTCCAGACAGCCTTTTCCCTCAGTCCTATGTGATACAGTGGAATTACTTTGGCAAGACAGTCCCATGACAGAAATGGAATGTGGTGTGATGCAATGACCTTTTATGAGTTGTAAGGGGAGCCAGTGTTTGATGTGAGAGATAAGGGAAGGGAGGGGCAAAGTGGCAATTTCTGAGTTGACCCAAGGGCCTGATTCTGAGGTGGTCAAACCTCTAGAGCCTGCCAACATTCACAGGTGGTAACACAGACCCTTGTTAGTGATGGGTGGTCTGGGATTCTGCTAGAAGTTAGAGTATGGAGAAGCCAAAAGATCAAGTCTTAGAAATAATGCAAAAAGCATCTTAGAAATAATGCAAAAGTCTTAGAAATAATGCGAAAAACATGCAAAAAATGTTAATGCAAAATAATGCAAGTCTTAGAAATAATGCAAAAAACATGCAAAAATCATGTTGGAGTCTGGAGTGCTCTAACATCCAAACATCCCTATTTGAGTGTCATCACACTATGTGACCTGTGACGTCCTCAACCTTTAGGTTCCTCACGTGGACCTCATGCATCACCATGGTTTGTTCTGCCAGCTGCTAACGTGCTTCACAAATGCGTGGGTAGCAACTCGTACTTGGATTTATACTCTGATCACATGGTTACATTGACAGTTCATCCTGCATCCTGAAGCAAGAGAGTCTACTCTCGAACTGTGGTTCATCACAACCACTGTGTTTGTAGAGAGGCAAACTCCATGGTCCACTGGCAGCAGGGCTCATTTGACGGTTAGAGAACTCAAGTTTTATTTTTCCTGTCGTCTGTTAAATCTGGAAAGCTCTGACTAGGTGTTCAGACACAAGTGAATTATTTGCTGGAAGAAGGCATGCTGGACACTGCGTACTGAATTGTATTTTACTGTATCCCTGATGGTAAGATCCTGCCAGATGGTATTTTACAAAATTTGTTGGTTAATTGTTGCAGTGTTGACAAGCCCGACCTTCTGGAAGTGCGGCAGCTAGACCTGGTGGGCACTGAGGTCTGTGTTGGGCTCCCGCATCAGCAGGGGCCATGGCGCCTGAGTGCTCGTGCATCCGTGTCTTGTGATGCTGGAAATATTTTATGATGAGCACCTTGCATAATCAGGAACTTTAGACAGGTGTAGAAATGGTCTATGGCTGGAGCGTCTGGAGGCTGATCATCTGGGGAAATCCAGCAGAACACGTGTCCAAGGGAAGCTCCAGCATCTCCTGAGGGGGCCATGCTTCCTAGTCTCTCGCTCTGTCTTCTTTGTTTTCACTCTCTACGTTTGTTCTCTCCCATTCATTACCTTTCTTTCCTCTTCCTTTTCTCCTCTCTGCCCTCTTCCCCCTCTGCTCTTCTCATCCTGGGGATGACTGACGGGTCTGCTTGATGGGGCTTACTGGCCTTGTCCTTTGACTCATCTCATGGGTTTTCCTGGCTCTTCTTGTCTCTGGCCTATAGCCTCCCCTCCCAGATGGGCAGATGTGTTCTTCACGAGGAGCAGGGTGTGTGGGTTTTCAGTGACTACTCTGGATGCTAGTTTATCTGGCTATGCAAAGGGCGCTTACCCAGGAGCAGCAGATTTTTCAGTCTTCATTAGCTGTCCCACAAACCCAGAAGGTGGGCAGCTTTCACCAGTGAGCTCTGCTAAGCTTGTCTCAGTTGTGGACATGTTCTTCCTCTCCCGACAAAGGCCATTGTCTTTGTGATTCTAGATCGAGGAAACTCGTCAGAACATCGACAAGATCTCAGAGCACGTGGAAGAGGCTAAGAAACTCTACAGTATCATCCTGTCTGCACCAATTCCTGAGCCAAGTGAGTGTTTCCTTAGAGCTGAGTCATCCAGCGACGGCCCTTGGCACTGGAACTGAGCCAGTCTTTATCCTGTGAGCAGCAGGGAGTGTGTGTGCCGCCCCACACTGTGGACACACTGGGTGCTCTCCATTCCCCTTTCCCAGCCTGAGCTCACGCCCCCAGCGCGGCCAGCTCTTGTGTTCGTGGTCCTGCGGAATCCACGTGGCTCTGCTCTCCTCTCCTTCCCATCCAGCCTCTCTCATGACTGCAGTGACGCTGACTGCTTCTCACGCCCACCACCCTTAGCGGTACCTTTGTATGTGCTGTTTCTCCACCTGAAATGCTTTTCCCTGTCCCCAACCAGATCCTGCCAGATCAGGGCCACCTTTTTTCCATGAAGTGTCCTCCCATTTGTTGCTGCCACCTCGGCAAACTTTCACATTTTTAGAGTGGGGCTTGAGGCTGCATTTTAGGTTCCTTAAGGACAAGGAATGAGCCAGACAGTATTATCTTGCTCTGAATTGATCAGTGGCTCCCTAGCACCTGAAGGTTAAAACTGGAACGTTTCAGTGGAGCATGTTGGAATTGTCTCGGTCACATGCCTGCCCTCCTCTGTACTTTTTCCTCCTGCCACGCTCCCCACGTCTCCCATACTTTAGCCAGATTGAACTTGGGCTGTTCCCCAAATAGTTCTTGTCTCATGTCTTTTACATGTTGTCCCTTCTCCCAGACACTCTGCTCTTCACCTCCTTTTCTGCCTGGTTAATACTCCTCCTTTCATCAAGACGTGGTCTTACTGTCATCTGTCTTTAGAAGCATTTCCAGATCCCTTCAGGCTGTGCGACGAGCCTCTTCATCACCGTCCTGTGCACACCTTGACCAGAACTCACACCTTACTCCACACTGCACATAAGAACAACAGATTGATTCGTCCGTTGTCCCTTAGTAGACCCTGAGCCCGGGGAGGCAGGATCTCTATCTTCTCTCTGAAGGCTTGGTGTCTAGCTCAGGTCCAAGCTTGTAGCAGGGGCTGAAACATGGTTTCTGAATGAACAGTCGTGGCCAGTGCTTACTTTGCTCCATAGATCCTAAAATAGCATTGTGCACGTAGTAGGTATGTCATAAATATTTGCCTGAATCTAGTTGGCATCCCTTTTCTCAAAAATCCCATGAAACTCTCTCTTACCTTTGATTTGAAGCCATCATGGTAAACCAGATGATTTTCTCATAATTTAATTTTGTGTGCCGGAGAATACTTGGGAAAGCTTTTTTTTTTTTAAAATTCAACTTAAAGTCAGTTAACATGTAATATATTGTTAGGCTCAGGTGGAGTTCAGTGATCATCAGTTGCATATAACACGCAGTGCTCATTACATCAAGGGCCTTCCTTCCCTCCCCTCCAGCAACCCTCAGTTTGTTCCCTAGAGTTAAGAGTCTCTTACGGTTTGCCTCTTTCTCTGTTTTTATCTTGTTTTTCCTTTCCTTCCCCTCCCCTATGCTCATCTCTTTTGTTTCTGAAATTCCACATATGAGTAAAATCACATGGTATTTGTCGTTCTCTGACTCACTTATTTTGCTTAGGATAATACTGTCTAGATCCATCCATGTTGTTGCAAATGGCAAGATTTCATTCTTTTTTTTTTTTTTTTAAGATTTTATTTATTTATTTGAGAGAGAGACAGTGACAGAGACCATGAGAGAGGAGAAGGTCAGAGGGAGCAGACTCCCCATGGAGTAGGGAGTACGATGTGGGACTCGATCCCAGGACTCTGGGATCATGCCCTGAGCTGAAGGCAGTCGCTTAACCAACTGAGCCAGCCAGGAACCCCAAGATTTCATTCTTTTTGATGCGAGTAATATTCCATTGTGTGTGTATGTGTGTGTGTGTATGCACATGAGCGCACGCGCACCCCACATCTTTATTCATTCATCCGTCAGTGGACATCTGTGCTCCTTCCATATTTTGGCTGTTGTGGACATTGCTGCAATAAGCATTGGGAAAGTTTGTTAAAAGATAGCCTGTAGGGCTCCAGCTGTGGGGGTTTTAATTCTGCAGGTCTGGGACCAGAGTGCCTAGAAAAGTGCCTTTTAAATAAGCTGTCTGTGATTCTAAGGACAGATGCCTGGGAGCATCCCAGGATAAATACTGCTGGGGGAGGGAACCTGAGAAAGCTCCCACCTCCTCTTGATTGGTGAGGCTCACAAAGCAATTAGTCTAACTGATCCTGCTTGCCTTTGTTTACCCAGAAACCAAGGATGACCTAGAGCAGCTCACGACCGAGATCAAGAAAAGGGCCAACAACGTCCGGAACAAACTGAAGAGTACGGAGGGAGCAAAGGGAACAGGCCAGCCCCAGCACCACCCTCTCACATCCACGGAGCCCAGCACCACCCCCTCACTTCTGCTGGGCCCAGCACCACCCCCTCACATCCACGGAGCCCAGCACCACCCCCTCACATCCACGGAGCCCAGCACCACCCCCTCACATCCACGGGGCCCAGCACCACCCCCTCACATCCACGGAGCCCAGCACCACCCCCTCACATCCACGGAGCCCAGTACCACCCCCTCACATACACGGAACTCAGCACCATCCCCTCACATCCACGGGGCCCAGTACCACCCCCTCACATCCACGGAACCCAGCACCACCCCCTCACTTACGCTGGGCCCAGCACCACCCCCTCACATCCACGGGGCCCAGTACCACCCCCTCACATCCACAGAACCCAGCACCACCCCCTCACATCCATGGAACCCAGCACCACCCCCTCACTTCTGCTGGGCCCAGCACCACCCCCTCACATCCACGGGGCCCAGCACCACCCCCTCACATCTGTGGGGCCCAGCTTTTCAGGACCAAAACGCATCCTGATAACACTTGTCCCATCTTCCTTTGCGGTTTGGGCACTGCCCCTGAAAGTTTGCCTGTCCTGAAAGCAGGACTGCAGTCGAGATGGTGCAGAACTGAAGTGTGCTGCCTGCTGCTGAGTCGTTGTGTGACTTGGTGCTTTAACTTAGTCCCTTGACTTTTCTCTTACTCGTCCCATTTCCGAGCGCCTGCATCCCTGTGGACAGAAATGCTGGAGCTGTCTAGATGCAGAACATGTTATTATTCAGTCTGCAGTCATTTCTTGGGGGGCCAGGTCTACACCACTTCAGTTTAGACCTTTGTTCAGTGAGACCGCGGTCACAGACTGGGTACCCCTGGGGCCAGAAAGGTCCCTTTCTTCCAGCTGCACTTTTGCCCCATTGGTTTGGGAATGCAGGCTGTTGGTCAGGGAGTGGAGGCAGCACTTACCATTTCTTCCCCCCAGACGAATCACAGTCCCTGTCTTCTTGCAGAGGGGGAGGTGGCTAGGGGCAGCCTCCAGTAGTAGCTGGGAGAGTGTGCAGAGCCCTGTGCTTTCTCATCCACTGCCCACTGGGTGGGGGAGGTGCTGTCCTTACTCCGTTCTGCACACGAGAGGACAGGAACTCTAAGGTGACATGGCCTTCCCAGAGTCACACAGCTAGCGAGTGGCAGGGCAGGGATTTGAGCCCAAGCCTCCTGCTGACAGAGACGCTTGCTGTTAGCTGGGCCAAGGTACAGTCAGACAAGACCTGGTCCAGTAAAGGGTGTGGGACGTGAGGCCTCTGGCTCCCTGGTGAGCTGGTGTGTCGGGACGGTGGATGCCTGCTGTGTCTACATCTGTGGGCTGGGTGTGTGAGGGGGTGCGGGAGCCTTGAGCTGTGCGTCTTGGAGGAGAGAAGCAGTGATGTTGCCGGAGTAAGCTTGCTGTGCTCCGCAGGTATGGAGAGGCACATCGAGGAAGATGAGGTCCGGTCGTCCGCAGACCTTCGGATTCGGAAATCCCAGGTAAGAAGTTCCCTCGTCATTTCATCCAGTCTTAATTTTGTTGTTGTTGTTGTTCTTAGCTGTGGAGCCTTTTTTTTTTTTTTTTTTCTTCCAAAGTATGGTTCTTGTTTGGACTCATTTGGAAGAACTGGTAAAGGATTGCTGCCCAGGCTGAAGCAGGAGAGGGGCCGGAGTCTAGGCCTTGTGGCCCCTCTTCCACCCGGGGCTTCTCTAAGGAGGCCCTTAGAGAACTTCTGAGGGTCCTCCCCGGGCGCAGCTGCAGAATTTTTCGCCTCCTGAGGGCATGGAGGTTTTCTCTCTGAAGATTATGGTCATTAGTTGTCCAGTTTGGAGTTAGGCTCTCTGGTGGTGATCAAAGATATGATCCATGTCCTCAGAATTGTCAGTCATGTTCAAGTGGCATGAGGAGGCTGTCACATAGGACCCAACAGGAGAGCGGTGGGAAGACTCAGTGATGTGCACGGTGCTCTCAGCATTCACAGAGCTCAGGCAGAGTTGGGGGCAGTCAGAGGGGGCTGGGCCTTGGGTGGGCAAGAGTGGCAACGTGGACAGGCTCAGGGGTAGAGAGGTTCCTTTAAGAGGCGTGGGGACAGGAGTGGTGGTTATGTTAGTAGCAGTTGTGGTAGTGATGGGGGTGGGGCAGGGGTGAGGGGCAGGCATGGAGAGAACAGCCTGTCTGGAGAGAAAAGTTAGTTGTGGGCTCGTGGCCATTGAGGTTTTTGTTTTTGTTTTTTTATTTGATAGACAGAGATGACAAGTAGGCAGAGAGGCAGGCGGCAGAGGGTGGGGAGCAGGCTTTCTGCTGAGCAGGGAGCCCGATGCAGGGCTTGATCCTAGGACCCTGAGATCACGACCTGAGCCAAAGGCAGAGGCTTATTAAACTGAGCCATCCAGGTGCCCCATGGCTGTTGAGTTTTTATCAAGAAGTTAGCGCTGTACTTCAGAGATCTTTGAATACCTGTCCGGGGAACCAGATAGCCTGTGTCCATTTCCTTCAGCTTGCAGTCTGTTAGGAGACAGTCTGGGAGCCTCCTGAAAGCGGGACCAGAGTGGGGGAGGGCCGAGAGGCAGGTGGGTCTCTTGCTGGGCTTCTGCAGTGACTTCGGTCTGAATGTGCGTGCTGCAAATACTGGTGATTTTGCAAAGGTGAAGCCAGTAGGCGTTGATGTGGAGAGGTGGGCAAGGAGGAGAAATCATGGTGAAGACTGGAACACAGGCACAGGGGGCTGTTGAGCGAATGCATTGCGTTATAGGCAAGGGAAGATAGGGAGGTCAGGTTGGGTAAGAACTCAAGAATTTTGGCAGGTTTTGGATTTGGAAGGGAGTCTGGCAGCTTTATAAAGCAAGCCAAAGATTGTGCCAGAAAAAGGCAGCTAGTCATGTGGATGCAGGGCTCTCCTTTGGCCTCAGGATTACCACGTGAGGTCAGCAGGCGGGCAGACAGATGATGGACACATGCCTTGGTAAAGGTCAGCAGACTCTCCTGATGGTGTGAAGTTAGGAAAGCAGAACGCTGAGTCTCATACCTGGTCTTTTGCTTCCAAGTCCAGTGCTGCCTCAGACTGGGCTGTGTGGGGCGACGGTGCGGGCTCTCTAACAGTGTGGGCTCCCCGGCCTTCCGCTCCTGGGGGCTTACTGCACTCGGATGGTTCCCACAGCACTCCGTCCTGTCCCGGAAGTTTGTGGAGGTGATGACCAGATACAACGAGGCTCAGGTGGACTTCCGTGAACGCAGTAAAGGGCGAATCCAGCGGCAGCTCGAAATCAGTACGTGTGAATTTTGGCGCGCCCCCTGCGCCTTTCCCTGCCACGGGCTGTCTGTCCCAAGTCGGGAGAACTGGGAGAGCGAGCAGCAGCTCCCCTGCTTGGCCTTCTGCCTGCATTCGCACCCGAGCCCAGGAGAGGCCTTAGGTTACTGGCGTGTCTGATGCCCGTTGTGGCTGAGGGTGGCGCGATGCTTTACGGGCCCGGGTTCTTTGGTTCCTGGGGGCGCCAGCATTTCCTCACGTGGAGGGGAGGCGCCTGCTGACAGTTGCTGTCCTGGGGACCTATGACATCTTTTTGTTGTGTCTTTGACAGCAGAGAACATTTATGAGATGATAGTATGGCGCCAGGTGCTGTGAGGAACATGACAGATGTGACAGACATGACGTGACATTCAGGGACTCGGGGCGCTGCAGGGTGCCAAGGGCTCTGAGTGGAGGAAGTGTGTGAAGCAGCACGTGGTCAGAGAAACACAAGTGTGTCTGGGAGTGCTGCCACCGTGCAGCCTGGGAAGAGGGAGCCCTTGGGAACAGCATGTGGGGTTCGGTGGAGGAGGGTGGGCTCCCCTGGGAACTGGCTCCCGATCCTCTGAGGCACAGTGCATGGGCCGGTCAGCTCTCTGAGCAGGAAGGGATGTGGTCAGACTCGTGCTTCAGGAAGTAACCGCGTGTCATGCTAAGGGTGCACTGGATTAGGGGAGAAATCAGAAGGAAGCAAGACACATCAGGGGCTCTCGGGGGTTATAAAGGCCACCGTCTTTAGAGTGAAGTTACAGTGTTCCCACATGGTAAAAGTTCCAGAGACCTTTTTTTTTTTTTTAAGATTTTATTTATTTGAGAGACACAGAGATAGTAACAGAGAGCATGAGCGAGCACGAGCTGGGAGAAGGAGAAGCAGACTCTTTGCTGAGCAGGGAGCTCAGGATGTGGGGCTTGAGCCCTGGACCCTGGGCTCATGACCCGAGTTGATGGCCAGTGCTTAACTGACTGAGCTGCCCAGGTGCCCTTCTCAGGGAACTTTGAATTGGTGTGCTTTGATCTTGTATTTGATGCTCTACTTCTTTCGTTATAAAGCTGGCAAAAAGACCACAGATGAGGAGCTGGAGGAGATGCTGGAGAGTGGGAACCCTGCCATCTTCACTTCTGGGGTGAGTGTCCAGGAGCTGGGATGCAAGTCCCTGTCATGGAGAGGGGAGGCTGCCGTGGAGCTCCGTGTGGTTGGTGAGGGCAGGGCTGCAGGTGCAGGGAGGTAGTGAGGCAGCGGGCTTGGCTGGAGTGTGAGTGGGGGCTGTGGCGGGGGTGCTGGCTGATGTTGGTCTTTGTGTGGCCTGTTGTAGATCATTGACTCTCAGATTTCCAAGCAAGCCCTCAGTGAGATCGAGGGGCGGCACAAGGACATCGTGAGGCTGGAGAGCAGCATCAAGGAGCTTCATGACATGTTTATGGACATCGCCATGCTGGTGGAGAATCAGGTAATGGCCGCGGGCACCACCCTGGGCAGAGGGAGGAAAGCTCAGGTCCTACTGAGAAGGGTGGACTGGAGAGTCAGGTGAGGTGCGGTGGGGGAATCATCGGGAATCTTCACATGGGGTAACAGGATCCCAGTGTCCTGGAAAGGAACGCCGTCCTGCGTCCATCTTAGCCTTGTCCTCTTGCCTGCTCCTTCTGCCTCACTTCTGCCTCCTGTGGGGCTCAACGCGCTTGGTCAAGTACTGCCTCCTTCTGTGTCAGCACCTCTTGTGCCCTTTTACCTGGGGGTGTGGGTTCTTAATGGGATGCCTTAAAGTGGTCTCCTGATGGGAACTATCTCATGGGTGACATCAAAGACAGGATCATTTCCCCAGTTCATGGTGAAAAGTTAGCTTTCCCAGAGGCTTTAATTTTTTCCCCATTTTTGTTTTCTCTTCTGTGTGTTTTCCCCAAAATTTTGGCACTTTTTGCTAAGGAACAAGAGCAGATAACAAAATGAAGGAAGGAACAGTAGGATAATATTTATGGGAACACTCGAAACACCCATGGTTTGACAGCTTATTTTGTCCCTGGGCTGCTCGCTCAAGGCCGTGTGTCCCTGTCACCTGTACATGGTGCTGGCTCCACATGGTCAGGTAGCCACTGGTCCTTAAGACGCAGTCAGAGATGCCTTGGTGACCATGTGTGCCGCTGTTACCGTGAACCCCTGGCCACTCTGCCGCCTGGGAAGGACTGAAAACTGCTCCTTGTGGAGGGCCTGCAAAACCCAACTGAAGCCCGAGCACTGCTTGGCTGGTTTCCGACAGCTGTCCCCTGCTCAGGGCCCGGCGGCCTTTCCTCTGTCCCCTTCTGGCCTTTCGGACCATTCCTTAAGTGCCCTCTTCCCTGCTCTTCTTTTTTCTCTCCTCGCGGCCTTGCTGAGGACTTGGTTTGAGAGTCGAGTGCTGGTAAGTGCCTTTCTCTGCTTACAGAGTGCCGTCAAGCAACGGGTTGGGTTGAGGCAGGTCCTGGTAGGGGAGGGGCATTCCCATCCTAAGATGCTCAGAATTAATTGGAGTGACCAGACTTCCATGTCAGGAAGTAATCGCTGGGAGGTGGTTGGGAACCTCACCAAGAGACTGTTGTCTCTTAATAACCTCGTAGATGTAAGATGTAACCAGATAGCTTAGGTAAACCCCGTGCCTGTCACTTAGGGGCTTGGGAGTATCTCTTGGAGAAAGCGGGTGTTCCCAGCCATGGGCATTGACAGAGCAGCTCCCGTTTGCTAGCACTATTCCGAAGCACAAGTCCGCACACTTGCCTCGGGCCAAATGAACTTGGTTCAGGTCTGCACAACCAGGAAGAGGCCAGCATCCCAATTATGCCCTAAGATACTCTTATTTTAGTTCCTCTTCTCATATGCTTAATTAAACACAGAGCAGTGGTGGTGGGATCGGTCTTAGAACACGTATTTACCAGGCATCTTGACAGTGTGCTCCAAGTGCCCCCTGCAGTGCCTGTCCCCAGAGAAGTGGTTCACTGAGGGTTGCTTGTGTGCGTGACCACCACCAAGGACTGGGGAGCCATAGGTAATCCCATGGAAGATGGAACATGTGCCCCACACAAGACTTCCCCATGCTCCTCTTTGCACTGGGGATTATAACAGAAAGCCCCATCCCCAGTGAGCTCTGACTGTCCCGGGGCGGGTTTATGGGGTGTGACTTGTGTCTGTCCTTTGCAGGGTGAGATGCTAGATAACATAGAGCTGAATGTCATGCACACAGTGGACCATGTGGAGAAGGCACGGGAAGAAACTAAAAGAGCCGTGAAATACCAGGGTCAGGCCCGGAAGGTGAGACTCTCCAGCTGCCTTCAGAGAAGAGAGTCCATTCTCCTTGCTGTCTCTCGCTCTTTCTCTCCTCCCTCTGCCTGTCTCCTTTTCTGCTGCCACCACCTCTTGCATCCGGGCAAAGGGAGCCATGATTGACCGTATCGAGAACAACATGGACCAGTCAGTGGGCTTTGTGGAGCGGGCCGTGGCGGATACCAAAAAGGCTGTCAAGTATCAGAGTGAAGCTCGGAGGGTGAGCGCCTTAGTCTCCACGGGTCCGGCTTGCTCCTCCTCTCTCTGGTGCTCCCCACCCGTGTCCTTGAGCCCATGCTTTTTCTCTCTGTCCCGGCTTCATCCCAACACCTGTGTCAGCCTTTCCCAGAGAGTAGCTCCTTCCTTCCCTGGCGTGCCTTGCATGGATCTGGCTCACATGTTCTCTACCCAAGAACCCACACTTGAAGGCAGTTCTGCAGAGTGGATGCGTTGCCCAGTGTCACTGCTCGTCTTCTTCTGGACAGAGCTCATGATCCTTTCAGATGTCACACTTGACTCCTCTGTTCTTCAGAAACCTGTTCACTCTCCTCCGCTCCATTAACCAGGCCCACCCCTCTTTCTCTGCTGTGAACCCGGTGCTGTGCTGATCTCCATGCAACATTACCTCCTATGTTGTGGAACACCTGTTATCCCTACTTATAGGTGAAACAGTTGAGGGTCAGAAGTTCCGTAATCGGCTTCATGGTACCGATAGTATAGGAGTGGGATTCAAATTCAGATTCCAGTCACGTTCTTTCCCCTGTACCACCGTTATTCACCCTCTTCCACTGCCCCTGTTGCTTGAGGACTTCTAAGCTTGTCTGCCCACTGGGGTAGCCAGCTCTGGTGGCTTGCACTTCTTAGACTGTTCTTTTCTGACTACTTCTCCTGGGCTCTGATACTTTCGTTCTCCAGTTCTTTTTCTTCCTACTCTACCCATTGCTTGTGCAGGGATTCAAGGAGTTGGGAAGCTATTTTACCTGATGAATCCAGGCTGGCTCACAACAGGACCACAGTCCCGCTTTCTGATCCCCAGTCCCTGGACTGGGTCTGATGGGTGGACGTGTGCTTTAGGGGAGAGACAGACAGAAGTTTGAAATTAGAACTATTTGAAAACATACACTGCTTTTTGAAAAGGAAAAATTGGTCCCTTGATACCATGGCCCGTTGTTGCTAGGAGATTCCGTGGTGGTTTTTTTAATCTGTGCATGCATACAAGACTGAAGTGTGAGCTAAGAGCCGACAGAAGCTCCGTATTTCCATTTGCTGGCCTTGCTTGCCAGAAAGTCACTTAAGATATGTAAAATATCCTAATAGAATGTCTTAATGTAGAGCTATAGTCTTTTTTGGCTTGGTAAGAGGCTTTCAGTGTAGAGGTGAGAGGGGTTGGGTTTTGGATGAATTGTTATTTGGTTGTTTCTAATGATGGTTTGTTTTGTTTCTCTTATCCTCTCCAGAAATTGATAATTATCATTGTGGTAGTAGTGGTGTTGCTGGGCATTTTAGCATTGATTATTGGACTTTCCGTTGGGCTGAAGTAATGGTGGCCTGAGTGGTTGCTGCACTGAAATGTAAGTAAATGGAAGGTTCTCGGGGATTCTGGATTGGCTTTCTCTTGAGAAATTGGCTTGGGGTTCCACATGGCAGTGCTCTCCTTTTGTGATTGTCCGTGGAAAAAACAGAGCTCTCTCGGACTTTTCCATCGCCTGTGCCTTCTTTCATCTCCTTAAAATACTCCTCTGGGCTTCTAGCCCTGGAGAAACTTCTCTTCTGGGCCAGGCTCCCATTGGTTCCTCTCCTGGGGACTCTGTCTCAGCCCTTTTTCTTACACCGTGTGTCACCACCTTTCCTGACACCTGAGCACCACATTTTTGCTCCTTTCGCTCAGGAAGCATGCTCCTAATTGGGAACAATCTGTGTCCTGGGTCTGGGGTTCATCTTCTGAATTCTTGCTGACTTTGATGGATGTTGGGCTTTGCTTTCCATATCCTTTTTAGTGTCAAGAAAGCTCTGGGTTGGGGTGTGGGGTGGTGCGGTTTTGTTTGTGGCTGACGGGTTGGATTTTGAATGATACAGCAGTTAACATTTTTGAGTGTTGAGTCATGCCAGACCGTGTACTGAACACCTCATACACACATCCTTGAATCCCCATTAACACCTTCTGGAGGTAGGTACTGTTGTTTACTGTATTTTACAGGCAAAGACACTCAGGCTTAAAGAGATGTTAAGTCACAGGACAAGTTTGAACACACAGCTGATGGGGGCGCCTAGGAGAGTTCTTCTTTCTTACGTCTTAGCTTCTCTTTGTGAAACGAGGTAGCCATTTATCATTGTCTACAGAGTCTAGAGAACCTTGGAGGAGAGCGAGTTTAAAATTTAGGTTATCAGTTTCTTTAAAATCTGGTGAAAAGAATAGTGCTGACCACTGAATCAGGGCTTCATGGGCATAGCAGTATGATGGGAATGACCTAATTGGCACTGTTAACACATTTGTAACTTCCTAAATATTACTTTTCTGAATAAGGTATAGGATGTAGTGTTAACAAAAACCTCTAAAACAGAAACAGTAAACAGAATTAATTTTTAATATTATTGTTGATAACCTTGTGGCATGCTCACACACTCACACATGGTCCACAGACTTCAGAGTATATCATCAGTGATTTTAGACCCAGTCCAAAAATCCTGTGCGTCATTCCACATCACTAAAATCTTTTGGTGAATCTAATTTTCAACGCAAGGTTGTGAGTATACTCTGAATTACTTAATACTTCCCCAAAGTTGGGAGTTTTGCGATTACAGTGTTACTGTAACGAATGGTGTGATTAGTCTATATTTTTCTCATTTTTACTTTCTCTTTATTATGAAATCAGAGAATTTGAATTGCTGAGGTAATAGATACAAATGTCTTCAATACTTGACACATACTTCCATGTTGGTGCCCAGACCTGATCCTTCTTTTCATTTTTGCTTCCGTGTGCCTCTTCCTTCTTCCTGCTCCTATGAGCCGGGGGTCTCAAAGTCAGATAATTATAGCACTAAACAACAACTTCTTCTTGAGAATGTAAATGAATCCCTTTTTTAAATGAGGAGACTAATGAATGTATTGTTTTTAGTTGACTTACCTGATGTCCAAGAGGCTGCCTCTCGCTGAGCAGTGTTGAGTTCTTTACTGTAGTGTGTTCCATGTCCATGAAGTCATGACTGGTTGCTCCTTTTAGGTCTGGACCCACCTCTCCCTCCCATGTGGCCTGAGGATGAGGTCTCTGAACAGGAGGGAGGGAAGACAGCCTACCTTTGACTCCCTAGTTGTGTGCCAGGTACTATTCTAAGATAGTAACATGGTCCCTGTTTACAGATGGGAAACTCCAAAGCTCAGTGAAGTTAAGAAACTTGTCCGGGCTTACCCAGCCATTTAAGAGGAGCAGCCATGATGACCTCTGAACTTCTCTTTATTTTTTTCATGGTGTAAGAGAAGTGTGGAGCAGAGGAGTAATGGAGCAGAAGATTCCAGTTCTGCAGCTTGTATTTGAAATGCGCTGATGAGGACCCTGTAGAGAGAACAGGTGCTTTTGTGCGGTGACTGCTTCCTGCTGATGTGACAGCCTGTGTGAAGGATTGCAAGAAGTCCAGGGACTTTTTTTCCCCCTCTCTCATAATATAGCTTTTTGTTTCTGTCACAGCAGGATATTTAGTTCCGGATCAGTTCCTGTCTTGGGTTTGTCTATAGGATTTCTCAGGTTTAGTGTTGACTTCTCCATCGCTTTCCTTTTTTGCAGTGACGTCTGATCTTCTGTCTCCACCTTCTAGGTTTGTGACTAAGTGTTAAAGTTGTTCTCCACCATCATTCTGTGCACTGATCAGCAACTCCTTCCCGTGCCTCTCTTAGAACCCGATTTCACTCCAGCCTGGTGTGGCCACCCTTGTCTTCAGATGGGAATGAAGTTTGAATGGCTTTCCTGAGAGAGAGTGGGACCTGTTCCTTTGTTTCCTTGTAACCGTCCTTGGACCTGACCCAGCAAACAACTTAGCCCAGGAGGAAGCTAATCTGCCTGATGTAACCCTGAGTTCTCAGAACCTTCTCCTGCCCCACCAACTCTGAAGTACCTTCTCTCCCGGACAGTATGAACCAACCCAGCTTCTCTTTGTTCCCTCTGAATGTGTCAAAGTAAGCCTTGCACCTTGGAAAGCCGATTCCAAACCTTCCCAGGGTGCTGTATTTTCTACCTCATGGAGTATTCTTCTCCCAGAAATTGCAACATATTTTTGAGGGGTATCTTTCACAACACAAAGGGATTCTTCCAAGTGTGGCGACAGTAAGGCTCAGCTCGAGCCTTCTACTTGGCAGGGTCTTGGTCCTCACAGTTTGCTGTCCCTGTGTCTTGAAAATATGTGGAACTGGCAGATGTCATTTTGGTCTTAGCAGCTGACTTGTTTGAAGTTCAGTCTTAAATTAAGCTCTTGGTATGTTCAGCTTCATGGCCGACTTCAGTCTTTATGTTGTGTTCTCTCATGTTTACTCAAGGAGGCACCAGGATGATACGGTTGTCTGAGGTTACCATTTGTAAAGGCTGAAGGTATGGAGATACTTGTTTGCCTCTCTGAGTCTTGGAAACTGGCTGTTCTCCTTTGGAGTGATGCTTTGTGAAGCCACTGCCTTGAGGCCAAAAATAACCAGGCACTTAAAATTGGGCCAGGGACAAGGTGCTTGAGTCTCAGGTTCTGGAAATGTTTAGATTGGTGCGAGTGTTCAGTCATTCATTTCATATATTCCGGATGTATTTTTATAATCGTGTGTGAGACGTACATATATATTTGCCTGACTCTCTCAGGAAGTAGGAAACTAGAAATGGAGAATATTATAACATCAAAAAACAAAAACAAACACCTTGGGCTGGGCTAAAAATTAGGTAAGACATATGCTTATTTACAAATGAGTCACAGCAGAAATAGGATCTTCCTGTGTCATTGAGAAACCTTGATTTCTGGATGAGTGCTGGGACGATCACAGATCTTTGGGGTTAGGACTACACTGATCCCACTAAGTTTTTCTGCTTAGCGGACAGGTATGACAAGTTTTGGCACCTCTCCTTGCTGCTGCATAGGTGAGGCTTGTCCTGAGAATATCCCACAGCAATCTGAGATCATTCCTGGGGCCTTTAGGATGATCCTGTCTCCAGGGCTGAGTCAGCTGGGGGAGACCGGGGGCTACTAAGTAGCTCGTATTGCTACCAGGTAAATGAGCTTGACAGGTTCTTTGTCTCCCCCCAATTCTTATAATGGAGGAAGCAACAGCCAGGAAATGATTTCAAGTGTAGTGACTATGGTGACCCAGTGGTGAGCCCCTTAGATTCCCTGCCAGTCTCCCTGATGTATAGTTGAACTTTGACACTCTAGGATAGAGTGAGCACCTAATCCAGGCACTGCCCCGGGCTTCCTTTGCAAAGGCTGTGTACTCCGTCATTGCTCAGCACTGCGACAGAGCCAAAGGGATACCCTCTTCCCATGGCTATGAAGTCAGACAGTGGACTGGCTCCAGCAACGAGGGAAGACAAGCTCTTACCACAGGCCTTTGTTGAGCCCTGGGGCTTAGTTTGGAATACAACAAGTGAAGGGTTTTTTGTCATTTGTGTTTTTTAAATGTAAACTTGATTATTTTATTGATAATTTAAAAATAAATGACTTTATATTGATTGTGAAACAGTTCTTGCTCTATTTCCCTACAAAAGAGTGGTTGGGTGCCACCACGTGGTGGTTTTTGTTTAGGTTTTGGAAACAAGGGTTACAGTGCTTTTTATCCATGTGCCAGACCAGATGGATCAAAAGTTCTAATTTTTGAAAATGCTTTAACTCTCAAAGAATATGGTTTAACTATATTTGAGTTTCAGGTTTAAGGTGGTCTCCCTAAGAATTCAGTTCACTTATCAGGAGTATCTGTCTCTAGGAGGAGATGGGGTAACCCAGGTGTGGTGGGAACCAGAAAGCAGAACAACCTACTGAACGTCCTCAGAGACTGCTGTTGATCTCATTTTGAATCTCTTGCCTGAAAGCAACGCTTCTAGTAATATCCTGGGTTCTTGAAGCCAGATCCATCACCCTTTCCCTTCACGTCTTCCTCCGTGTCTGGATCCACTTTCGCCTTCCTTCCCCTGCAACTCTGCGCAGTGATGCTGCTTCTCACATGCTTTTTCTTTCCTTGTCTGGATGAGCAGAAGAAGATCATGATCATGATCTGCTGTATTATCCTTGCGATCATCTTAGCTTCTACCATTGGGGGCATATTTGCCTGAAAAAGGTGAGCCATTTGTGGGGAGATGATTTTTTTCTTTCACTTACTTGAAACTCTTATATGCTTAAAAGCACTTGTCGCTGGTTCCCCAGATTTGGGAGGGAACAGGTATTAGACTAGAGAAAGGCTGGAGAGAATAATGAAAAAAAGGTTTCATAGAGAAATACGGGTGAATAACACGTTGGCTATAGATGGGGAGGCAGGGGGCCGTCTGCTCTGTTTAGAATGATTTGTAGAAGGATGTTGACTTCCTGCAGCAAAATTTGGGTGGTGGTGTCAGGAATGGCTAAAGGAAAAAGAATTAGTTCTTGCACTGGAAGCACCCCTCTCTAGTAGGAGAGAGCCAGCCAGTAACCCCAGAGTTTTAAAATTAATATCCTCTCTTTGAGGGTTAGGACCATTAGTGCAGACTTGCCGAGTAGACTCTTTGACCCTGCAGAGGAAGCACTTGGTGATCCTGGCTTCGAACATCCTGTTGTATAACCTGTGATTTTCTTCCCCTTCCGTTACCCCTTGTAGTCCTCACCGATGGAGCCTCGGCCGGCTTTTTTAATCCTCCTTCCACTTTCTGTGGTGCCATCACTTCTCCACCGCAGATTCCTCAACAGCTACTCCTTTCCACTGTGAAACCTATGACATAGGGTCTCCATCAACCACCTCTTAAAAGTTATGCAAAGGTAGACTTAGGACAGTGCGGGATTGGGCGGGGGGCAGGGCTGAAGGAACATGAGCTGGTTAGGAAGGTGGTGTCAAGGAGAGGCTGAGGGGTAGAGAACACGTGCCTGTTGGGGAAATAAAACAGAGCCAGGCAGGTATTGGAGCACACCCAGCTCATCAGCAATTAATTTTCTCTGACCAGTACCAGGCCCGTTACGTCTGGTCTTCAGGTTCTTCTAGGTCTCACCTTCGACCAACGCTCCATCTACTTCCTTCTTCAGGGTCTGATAGTCTAAAGTTAAGATGGTCTAACCACAGGTGCCACGCATGTCTTGCTCACAGCAGCGTCCCCAGTCCTTAGTACAGTGCTTGCCACTTACAGATGTTCAAGGATGGGTTGACTTAATTATCTGTAATTAAGCTCTGATTTCTGCTCACGGTTGAGTCCGTGGGTTTTACTTTGAAACCTTTTAAGGGATCAGTGGTAAGTGGGTTTGTTAGTATCAGAAGCTGTGTGCAAATACCTGTGAAGGGGTTGATTCACTTATGCAAATATATGACACACCTCCCACTACTGTGACACGGTTTTTTTTTATGAATGGCGATGGGAGTTGACAGTCTCTCACTCTACAAAGACTGCTGGTCCCAGGATTGTGGCTCCCAAACAAAAGAAACAGGTTTATACCATGACTGAACTCCCAATAAGCATCAGGACCATGCTCTATGAACTGTAACAGAGATGAGAGATCAGGTCAGAAAAGTGATAGGCAGCTACCATTTGCATCGTTTCTTACATGGTTCATGTTGCTAGCTGAAACTGAATTTTCTTGGCCAGCAGTGTGCCTGAAACTGTCCTGAACAACGGCCCCAATTCAAAATTCAGATGTGTTCTAATGCAATTTAGTAATTATATTACAAGAGCTTCACTACAAATACATTAACCTCCACCATGTGCAACTCTTGAGGACCATGTAACTGTTTAGATACACTTGCACTTTTGAAAGATTACTTTCTTGCCACACATCTTTTTAAGAAAGTGGGATTAAAAAAAACTGACGTTTCAAGTCCATGTGCTCTTTTTCTACCCCTTTTCAAAAGCAAATGGTTTGTGATTTCTATACATTTGTATTTCTTTCAGTTTGAATAGGGGATAGAAAACTGCTGGGTAGCTCTGGAAGAGATGAATCTTGTTACAGACCAGACAGGAAGGTGGAGCCATGGGGATTTGAGACACACGGGGCCTTTATTCATCCAACAGTAACTAGTTGCGTGCCGTGCGGCACACCGCACTGTCCTAGAACCTGTGGGGCCACAAAGGTAGAGCCAAATACTCGGCCTCCTCGGAGAGTCTCAGACCTAGGAAAGGCCAACTTCAACTTTTATCACTTACTTGTGTTAAAAGGCAAGGGTATGTTCCTTAGCATATTGTCCAACATTCCCCTTTGTCTTCCAAAATTGAGAGATGGGTAGTTGGGCATAAATAAATATCTGTTCAATTAATGTATGTGCCGGTGTGTTTTTGCTTTCCGAAAACATCTGTAACTAGTAAAGACCAACTAGCTCCTGTGCTATAAAAGGGAGTACAGAATTCTCCCAGTGTCCAAAAGTAGTGTTCCTAAAACTGAAACAATGTACAGTGAAAAATTACCATTTTGTAAAGCAAAAATCTTCTTCAGATTTCTTTCAGTTTGAGGAAAACAGGTACCAACGTAGCTCTTTGGTAAAAATGAAGTGATGTGAAGCAGACTTGGACCGCAAGGAAACCCAGGCAGATGTTAAATCCAACTTACACCAGAGAGGGGAGATGGAGGCCTTTGTTTCAGCCTTGAAGATACGCATCTTGCAGCTGGGGAGAACTGGACCCACTCACAATCAGTGAAGCTGACTTGGTAATCATTTAAGGATTAGGAGTGACCAATGAGAAGTTTTATCCTGAGGTGATACTCAGACTTTATTTGATATAAATATAATGCATTTAAACAATCAGTGGATATTCTACAATTTTTCCCCAATCATTTACTCATACCGCTCCTGGGTTAGATTATCAGTGCCACCCACAGACTGTTAAAGGCAGGCTGAGGGGAATCAAAATGTAGATTTTCTTTTGGTAGCCTTTGTACATTGATGTCTCCCATTCTCCCTACACACGTTCAGGCATATAGAACTTGCCCCAGTACCGCCCCTTCTGGGCTAAGTCGTACGGGCTCAGGACTTTCCGGATCCCAAGCATGTTGGCAGTGGCTGTGCGCTCAAAGGTCCAGGGGTTTTGGTTGTTCTGTTCCCGTTCCTCTTGGTCTTTCCGCATCTTCTCCAGAGTCTCACGGCTCACGGCCTTCGCTGGGAAGGGCAACTTGTGGGCAACCTGGTCCAGGAAACCTTGGACCTCTCTGAATTCACAACGCCCACCAACCTCTACTATGAGACGGCCAGCCTTCACGGGAGTCACGTAGTGATCAATGGCACCTTTGCCTCCCCCCATGCGCTGTCCCATACCCTTGCGGGTGACGGGCTTGAAAGGGGCTGGTACTCTCCATAAAGCAAACATGTTCTTGGGGTCCATAGAGCGGTTGATCGTCAGGCGCATCATTTCAAAATGGCCCCAGTGGAGGTAACCACCACCCAGTGCCTAAAAGTGGATGAAAGAATTAGAAATACTTGGGGATTTAGTTATCTTGTATGTGCTCTTTCACAGTAACTGTGGCTTCAATGATTTACATACAAATAAAAAGTTCTGGTAAGTACCATGGAGAAAAGCCTAGGGTACAGAAGTAAATGAAAACAAGGTGGACCCATTTCAATGGATAACCAGGGAAGGCCTCTTTGAGGAGCTGGTATTTATTTACTTAAAAGATTTTGTTTGTCAGAGAAGTGGGGGAGAGAGCACAAGCAAGGGGAACAGCAGGCTTAACCAATGAGCCACTTAACCAATGAGCCACTCAGGCATCCTGAGGAGGTGACATTTAAAGCTGAGACCAGAATGGCAGGAACCAGCCAAGGGAAAACAAGTTAAAGGAAGAGGAATGGCTTGGTGAGTGTGAGCAGAAGGCAGACTGTCTGGAAGAGAGTAAAGGACAGGGTATGGGCATAAGCCTGTGAGAGGCTGTCCAGGGCTGATCAGCAGGTGGCGGGAAGGACTGTAAAATACTGCTCTGGCTTCCTGTTAGGAAATCAGTCCTAGTCCACACCCATTTGTGCAGCTGCTGACATCAAGTCTCCATGGAAGCCACTCTAGAAAGGAAACAGTGTCCTGCATCTTAAGTCGTGGATAGTTTTATTTTCACCAGAAGCCTGTGAGGATTTCATAGTCTGATTATAGGGGCCAAATTGGTAGCCTGCCTTATCCTGTTTTTGTATTATTTTTGACATGAAAAAGAAAGATAAACAATTTAACTGTTCACTGGGTAGTGCACGTCAGTTTAAAGAGCAAATGGTGGCCATTCCAATAAAACCCACAGAGGACGAGAATTAACTCTAAGAGCACGAGATTTTGCTAATCCCTGGCTTCCATCATGCAGCTGCTTGACACTGAACTCACTTACCAAGATTGCAAAACTGCCTTCTGTGAACTCAGTAGCTTCAGTAGAAGGTCCCCGGATGTCCCTCAAGTTCTTAGGTTCTCTTCTCACTTTTGGCACAAGTGGTACTCTTTCAACAAATCGAAGCTTGGGCTTTTCAGGAATGGAAACATCTAAAAGGAGCACAGACAGCCAAGAAGAACTAAAACCACACATCTCCAAGGATCGATTTTCTTCCTACAAAGATTTATATTAATCAAGTGGAAGTCTTAGAGTTACCACTGAAAAAAATAATTTCAAAAGTGTATTAGGTTTTTCCTGTGGATGCTTTTTTATTGACACTGGGATCTTTTGATTATGACAAGTATTAATGGAGATGTTCTGAACCTTTGAAGATAACGAAGTTTCAACTTTCAAAGGAAATGCACTCTACATAACACAGAAAAGAGACCATCTGGGAAGGTACAGAGATTGAGACGGTCACAGATAACACTGGCTTTTTTTTTTTTTTTTAATGTTTACTAAGTGCTAGACGTTGAGCTGAATGCTTTATGTGCAGTATCTCATTTAATCTTTTTTAAAAAAAGATTATTTTTCTTCTTTTAATTTTTTATTTCTTTTCAGCATAACAGTATTCATTGTTTTTGCACCACACCCAGTGCTTCATGCAATCCGTGCCCTCTCTAATACCCACCACTTGGTTAAAGATTATTTTTTGACAGCAAGAGACACAGCAAGCAAGGGAACACAAGCAGGGGGAGTGGGAAAGGGAGAAGCAGGCACCCTCCTGAACAGGGAGCCTGATGTGGGCCCGATCCCAGGATCCTGAGATCATGACCCGAGCCAAAG